CGAAGCGCTGAGGGCGGTGTGGGTGCTGGGGGGGGGGGGGGGGGGGGGTGGCGGTTTAGCCAACTTTGAAGCCTGTCAATGCTTCTTCACGGGAAAAGGGCAAGAGCAATGCCTCAGACAAACAAACAAACAACCAACCCTTCGGGATTTCACTGGCGCCGCCCCAGCAGGGGTCGGCGGATACCTGACTGCAGCCAGTCTGCATCCTCTTCAGAGCTTCTCGCGTCATTATTTAAGTAGAAGGTTACCGAGAGCTGGCAACTGCGACAGTCTGGTTTCAGATTCGGGATGCAAAGTGTTCATGAAAGGACCTGCCAGAACGACTTGCGCGGAGTTCACTCGGATGTAGCAGACCTTCAGGCTCGAGAGTCTGCCCAAGCCAGTGCAAGGCAATTCCTCTCGATCTGAAAGGCTTCTTTGAGAAGTCTGGTCCGGCGAGTAGAGGCCCGTGCCTGCTCTGCTTGCTTTTGTCGGAGCATGGAAGGGATCCCGTGCTTGCAGAAAGGATCTGCACCACGCAGGGACCGCCGGAAACCCCAGGAAGCAGGCAAGAACTTCAAGAAGAAAAGAGCCCAGAACTGCCGAGCTGGGAGGTGTCTGATGGCGCTCGTCAGCTGGAGCTGCGGGTCGAAGAGCTGCAGAAGCAGGCTGTACTCTCTGGTCAGCTTCGGCTTGTCGGTGGACTTGTTTTTGAAGGTGATGGAGGAGTTGGAACAGTTAGCAGAGCAGCAACAGTTGCTGACCAAGGCACAGAGCGCTTGCAGCATTTTGAGGAGCTTTGATGTTCCCTATGGTGCTGTGCAAGGTCAAGCCAGGGCAGCTTGTAAAGCCGGAGGTCCAGGACTGCGAGGGGGAGCCAGTGAAAATTTCGGGGGGACAACGACGAGAGCAAGTGTTTTCCCAAAGAGGACTTGGAGCAGAACGTTGAGCGCTTGGCGGTCCAGGCAGGGCTAGGATGGGCTGGGCGGGTCAACAACTCAATTCCCCCTCAAATCGCGTGGTTTTGTGGAGATGGGTTGTGGCAGGTGGCGGAGGAGCTGCAGGAGCTGCAGATGCATCAAGGCGAACTCGGCAAGGCCGCTACGGCCATAACGTACTATTTGTTGAGCCGGCTGAAAAAGGGTAATGTCGCGCGAGCTTGGGCAGGTTCGGGTTCGCCTTCAAAGCACCGACCCGGGCAAGGCCGGGGTGTGGAAGCGTCTGCAAGTGCTCTAGGGCAAGTCTGTCCTGAGAAAAGCGGCGGAGAAGTTTCCGGCTTGTCGTCCAACGATGTCCAACGTCAGCAGTCGTTACAATCAGCCGTTGGATGAGTTGCAGGAATTGCATCAGATGCGTTAGCATACCTGAATAGAACTGATAGATAAATTCAGAAACTTGCTGAAAACAGCTCTCAGGGCAAAGCACCGGAGGCCGGGCACCGCGAGGACACCTGTCTCTGCGAGGGCTCTGCACATGTCCAGGTCGAACGGAAGATCTCGGAGCTGCAAAACAAGGCCTTTTGAAGCGCGGCTGAACGTGCGAACGATGTGCGGCTATGACAGGTTCTTGAAGAGTTGGATGCTTTGGGCAAACAGCAAGAAGAACTCGGCAGGGCCAAGGCTGCGCTGTCGTCTTCGCCTGCCGAGAAGGATGGCTTGGCCGCGGCTTAGATTTCAGGTCACCATGGCAGATCTGTCTGACCGTGTCCAGCAAGCGGTTGCCACCGTCACTGAATGCAAGAAGGCACAGTCAGAGTCAATGAGCCCTTGCATATTTCCAGTGGCATGGTTTCTGTAGAGTGAAGACGGGCCAGAACTGCCAGGTGACGCTCGGAATGGAGGAACGGCTAAAGCGGCTAACTTCCGAGGAGGTCAGCGGTGGAGTGCGCGGAGCATGCTCTCTGCTCTGCACGCTTCGAGGCTCCTGCCTCGCTCGGACGGAACGGCAAGGCCACTTCTGCGCCGCTTGCGCTGAATGCGAAAGCTGCCCCAGTCCAGGCCCCTCCAAGAGACCAGGGCCTCAAGGAGACAGTCGCCGCCTGGCTCTCGAAAGCCACATCCGGTCGCCCGGAGCTGAATCCCGAGGCCGAGCTGCCAGGCAGCGACGTGGATGACAGCTATGGGGCTGATGACTTCGAGGAGTCCGCCTATCCCTCAGTGCAGTCCTGATGAGTTCCGAGGTCTTGTGGAAAGTTGAGCTGCAGGCCGAGGATGCCAGCATGTCCGAAGATAAAGCTGCTGGGGGCAAATAGGCCACCCTCTGAAGGCGCCCAAGCGACCAGCGACGTGCAAAAAACAGGCAACTGCACTTTTGCAATCGCGTCGGCTGAATGGTTGCACCAGCCACTTCCCATTTCCTTTTGCATTCGTGTTTCGGTCGCTGCCGTCATCAGCAGCTGAATGCAGCTGAATCTTGTCTCTTCCAACAGCCCGAGCGCTCGCATGCCTTTGTCCCTAGCTGACCCCTCACCCTCAGCTTCAGCCTAAAACATGCTCAGTCCCTCGAAATTCCCAGAGGGAAGCTGGAGGGCAGGAGAAGCTGAGTCCTGGTTACGCCACCCGAGTCACCTTCCACGCACCAGCAGCTGTGAAGCGCATAGTGCTGCTTCCGTCAACTTGGTGGACTCGGCTGGATTCCGGCAATGGAGGATGCTCTTGTCGCCCAGATCTGTCGCTGTGGTTCCGTTTCGAGCGCTTCAAGGCTGGCCCTTGCCTTCCGTGTCCTTCACGACGGCCCGAGGGTGCGGCGTTTGTTTCTCTCCAGGTGCCCAACTCACGCGGCAAGTCACGGCCTCCGCAGACCGCGCCGGAGCCGCCTCACAGGACCGGGCTCTTTGCTCGCCACTTGGTGCTCCGTCTCCTTTCCTTCAGGAGACCTGTGCCGCACTTTGTCGCGAGCTTCTGGACCTGGCCACGTGTGGCTCCGTCGTTGCCGCAGAGCGCCGGCTCCATCGCTTCGCACCTTCGCTTCTTCTGGGCCCTGCCGAAGGCTCCCAACATTGAGACCACAATGCGTAGTATTTGCCTACAGATGCTGTGCATGAGGCGCCATGTTCGCAGCAGCTGCGCTGCCTTCGCGGTTCCATGGCGCGGCGTTCCGCAGCCTTCTGCTCGCGGCGATCAACGCCAACGATGCTGAGAAAACCGCAAAGCTCCCTGGCTTGCAGCAGTTCGGGCTTGTCACGCCGCCTGCAGTTGTCCATGCTAGGGTGCTGCGCATCAAGAAAGCATTTTGTTGCTCTTGTTACTCCTTGAAGCCAGCTGGTACTAGTACATGTTCTTCCCTCGGCAAATGGGACCACCTTTCTCAATAGGACATTGTACAACTGAAAGCGCTTCGAATGCCCGGGGCATATGGCATGATGTATCATGAAGTACTTGTCTTGATACCAGAGCAGGATCAGAATTGCGGAGTAAAACATGATTTCTTGTTGCAGTGACAAGTGCCAGCGTGGATGGTGGGGTAATCTAGGGTGCCCCGTGGCCATTTTGGACTCAAGTGGGCTCACCCGATTCTTTAGGGGGCCTACAGGACAGGTGGGAGTGGTTCATGGACCGGGCGGTCGTCCTTTGGGCAGATCGGGACACTTTGGGTCCTCCGATCGAGCTCGAGGGGGCTGACTCGGTTCCGTGTCTACTCCTTAGTCTGTGCTTTGGTGCGTGGGCTTTGGGCCTCCTCTGTGGCTGCATCTGTCGTGGAACAGGCTCCCAGGGGAGGGCTTCCGCGCCCGCACCACCTCCTTCGCCGGTGGAACGGTGGGAGAAAATATCCCGCCGAGCCGTCAACTTCGTGAGGAGCCGCCGGAGGCTATCGTTGGCCTTTGCCCACCTCGGCACCTACTCCCTGCGGAACGCGCCTGAGTCCAGGCCCAATATTCGACGCAGAGCTGCTCGACGAGCAGCCACCCCTGGACCTGTACTTCACGAAGGGCCGGCGGTGAGAGATGGACCCTACCGACGCGGAGCTCCAGGCGATCACGGACCTGCCGGGTGTCTTTACATGGGCCGGGGTCACAGGAGGGCTGGAGAGGTCGCTACGCACAGCCCTCGGAAACCCGGCACGCGTGAGAGAGCTGGCTCTCGTGCCTAGGCCAGCCTGGGATGCCATGGCACAGGCCTTGAAGGTGCCAGGGCCCAACGATGCCGACGGCAACCCCGGACCGCCTCGAAATCTCACTCTGCTGGAGAAAGCGAGGGTCGAATCGCGAGAAGGGTTGCCTTGCTCCGCAGGTGGCTCCCGACTCGCCTGGTGGAACCGGGCCTCCGACACCGTCGCCTGCGCCGGGTCCTGGCCCAAGCACTGGAGGCTCCCCTTCTGGGGCCCGCAAACTCAAGTTGTCTTCGGTCCTCGACCCGACCTTGGACGCGGAGGTCACCCCTTTGGGCCAGGCAGAGGTGCAGCAGCTCTACCAGGACGATAAGACGAAGTTCGGCGACCATCCCAGCCCGGAGGCCGACCCCTCATCGGACCAACTCGCCTCGCTGCGTCAGGTGGTCACGGCTGGGTCAGCTCTCTATGCTGATTTCTCGCTGTTCGGGCCCCATGGCCTGCGGCTCCTCCGAAAGCAGACGTTCACGTCTTACACGCTGAACGTGGCCACGGGGGAATGGTCCAAGAAGGAGCAGCCGGGACCCGCATCGTACCATGCTTGGGTCGAGGCCTGGAAGGTCCTGAGGACCGCCCTCCTGTTGCTGGAGGTTGCGGACGCCGAGCGCTTGGATGCCTACGCGGAGCACGTCCGCAGCTTCGTCACCCAGTTCGGGGACACGGCGTGGTGGCTGGTTTACCGGGCAGAGAACCGGATGAGGTGCGAGCACATGGAGAGAATCCGGCGTGTGCTTCATGACCGGCCAGACCACGGCTACACCGCTGCCCGCCCGTGGAACGCAGCTTTCGCCGCAGCTGTGAAAGACGGGACTTCTGGACCCGCGAGCTCGTCACCCCGGCCACGCTTTGGCTTTCCCAGAGACAGCCAGGATCAGGGAGCGGAACCCCGACCGTCGGCACGCTGGGTCAGGGGAAGGCCGTGGCGGCGACGACGAGCCGGCCAAGAAGAAAGCCCGGGCAGGCAAGAAGAAGTACGAGGGGGAGAACCTGTCCGAGAAGAAGGGGGGCGTCTTCGTGAAGAACCGCAGGGGATCAACCATATGCGAGGGCTACAACAAGGGCAAGTGCGGGAGCAAGAAACCGCAAAGCAAGTGCAAGAACTCGCACTCGCATCAGTGCAACCTTTGCTTGGGCCCGCACCCTGCGACCGATTGCCCGAAGGCCTGACCCCCGGATCCCGCAGCTGATTTGGATGCTGCCTCCTCTTCGGCCCCGGGCGGAGGAGGATCGGTGCCAGCAGACCCACCGGGCACTACACATGGAGGCGGCTTTGCAGCATCGAAGCCCAAGAAGTACCCTTTGGGCAAGCCGGCGGCGGCCAGCACACCCCAGGAGCTCGCGGACAAGACCTGCGCTTCGAAGGCGGCTGGCCCCGCACCTGGAGGCCAAGCAGCGCCCAAAACGCCGCCAAGGCCTCCCCTCAAGAGAAAGAGGCAAGATGGCCCCAAGCCCCGCGACGACCCGCCGGACACGGGGGCGGCCACAGAACCAGCCACGTCCTCAGCGGAGGCACGGCCAGCCGATGGACCTGGAGCCACGACCCCACCAAGGGCACGGCCGGGCGAAGGCAAGAAGAGGAAGAAGAAGGAGACGAGCCGAAGCACGCGAAGCCTCAAAAGCCTGCTGCAGATACCGCCTGCGGCCGGCGCTCTTCCTGACTACCAGCCCTTGGCCTGGGGACCTCGTGAGTATGGAACCTGGCTGGAGATACCCTCGGACACCTTTGAGGAACGGCACTGGGCCCTTGTGCTCTTCAGCGGCAGGCGCCGCAAGGGGGACCTCCCCAACTGGCTGGTTCACTTTGGTTTCATGGTCTGCTGTATCGATCTGGTGGCCGACCACCCTTGCAACGCCCTGGACGAGGCACAATGGACCCCCCTGGAGAAGGATGTCAACGATGGTCACTTTGAGGTGGTTTGGGCCGGCACGCCTTGTGGCACGTTCAGCCCGCTACGCGAAGTGAGGCCGGGGCCCAGACCTCTGCGATCGGTGGAGGAGATCGAGGGCATTTCAGGCCTGGGACCTCGGGAAAAGAACCAGGTCAGAGAAGCCAACGTCCTCGTCGAGCGCACCTTCGACATTCTGTCATTGGCGTGGGACGAGCGCAAGACCTGGGGAACCCCGTCCACGGCAGCGACAGGCCCGAGCTTTGGCAGATGCCGCTCGTTCGCCAGCTGTCCCAGCTCGACAGGACAGCCGAGGCAGTGTTCGACCACTGTCGGTTCGGCGGGCCACTGTCAAGCCCACCAAGGTTCTCTACAGTGCGCGCGCCAAGGGGTTCGATGAGCTCCGCGGGCTCCGTTGCGACCATCCTCGCGGCACTCATGGCACAGTTGCCGGCCAGAGGGAGCAGGGAGCATCCGGCGCGCAGTGGGCTTCGAAGAGGCAGGGCGAGTACACGCCGCATTTTGCGCAGGTCGTGGCTCATTGCCTCTACCAGGGATTTTTGAGAGAGGGCCCTGGAGAGGGAGGACCTTTGAGCGCCCCACCCGGAGGAGGAGCTGACCGCCTTCCCGAAGGACAAGACGGACCGCGAGCGGGAGAACGCCGAGGCGCTGGGCGGCATGCGCAACCCGCGCGCTGCACTCAGCCGGCTCCCGAAATCACGCCGGGTGGGCAGGGCGATCCACAAGCTCCTGCGCCACACCTTGGCGAAGTGGCCAGAGCTCGTCGAGCCAGCCAGGGCTATCCTTCGAGGAGAGGAGCCGAGCGACTTCGACACGGCCACCGTTGACTCGGTCAGGTCCGCCGTCCACACCGTCCTGGGCACGAGCGGCAAAGTGAAAGCCAGGCTGAGACCCCGCTCAGGGCGGACATTATAGAGTCCTGGGGCCTTGCCACTGAGGACCCAGACGCGGCCACCCTCGCCAACTGGTTGGACAACGGGGCACCCCTAGGGATCTCCCAGGCGATTCCCAGCCGAGGAGTGTTCCCAAAGGTCAGCTCCCGCAACGTCACGCCACACTCCCAGCTGGACGCCCGAACTCTGGAAGGATGGTCGAACTACCAGTCAGCTGAGGAAGAAGCGGAGACCTTAGAGGAGCTGATCAGCGACTACGTGGCCCGCGGCTTCTGCCAGATTGCATATTCCCAGCAAGGAGGCAGAGGAGGTTTTGGGTGGAAAGCCGGTCCTCAACAAGCTGGGTGTTCTGGTGAAGGAGAAGCGAGATGCCCACGGCAAGGTGGTGAAGAAGGCAAGGGTCATTTGGGACCTCCGGGAGTCCTCTGTCAACAAGGCCTGCCACCAAGGGGAGAGGATTATACTCCCGCGCCTTTTGGACGTCGTGGCCTCGGCGCTGGCTTCCTATCGGCGAGGCCGACCTCCCTACCTTGCAGGCGTTGACATCAAGGACGCCTTCATGAACATACCTGCGCGGGCAGACCGACGCTTCACCGTCGCAGCCGTCCCGGGTTCAAGGAACCGGCCTGGCAAGAGACACCGCCTCATCATCTTCAACACCTTGGTGTCTGGGTCGGCCTCTTCGCCCGCCATCTGGGGCAGGGCCGCCGCGTGGCTTGGGCGCACGTCCGCCGCGGTTTCCCCAGCCGATCTGCAATGCTACGTGGACGACCCCATCTATGTCCTGGAGGGTCCTTCTGCAGAAGCAGCGGCCGGGGACCTGTCGGTGATTCTCCTTTGGACGGCTGTCTGCGGCTACCCCATCAAACTTTCCTTGGCCACGGGGGGGCAAGGAGCTCGGTTGGGTCGGTGCAAAGATAAGGTGCCTGGACGCCGAGGAGGCGGTCGTGGTTACCCTGCCGGAGGCCAAAATACAGGCCCTCCTCGCGGACACCATCAGGTTTCTATCAAAGCCGGTGGCAGGAGCTCGGGAGCTCAGGTCCTACACGGGAGCACTCTCGTTCGTGGCGGGGCTGGTCCCGCATCTGAGGCCATTCCTGGCTTGGTTCTGGTCGGTGGCCCGAAAGCTCATACACGTCCGACGGATCAGACCAGCGCTGCGCTGGGTTAGGGCCCTTTTGTCTGGCGGCCCCACCATCGAGAAGATCTTCTACGCCCGCCCGCCGAGGACTGACTTGGAGATCGTCACCGACGCCTGCCCCTGGGGCATCGGAGGAGTGAGGCGGCATTCGGGAAAGCCGACGGGCTATTTCTACAGCCACCTCCCGGACGGCGTCCTCAAGAAGTTCGGGGCAGAGCGCGGCCTCCCGAAACACAACACATTGTGGGAGGGCCTTGCGCTACTGGTGGCGTTTAGGCTTTGGCTGCCTGCGCTGGTGCATGGCGCCCTCTTTCGGGCGAAGTCCGACAACCTCGGCTTCCTGAAGGCCTTGGCCAAAGGGAGCGCGAAAGCTCCCGACCTCAACGTCCTGGCCCGCGAGTTCGCCTACGACCAAGCAGTCAGAGCCTACCAGGTGAAGGGGCTCGTGCATATTCCGGGCGTGACCAACATCCAGGCGGACGCTCTTTCCCGCCAATTCGCCCCGGAAGCGAAACGCTTCCCTGCGGAACTTTTGGAGGTTCCTCGTGATGAGGTCCTCATCGAAGAGCACTTCTGGAAAGTGTGAAAACACGCGAGGTCCGAGTGCGAACTTGTCTGTACCTCCGCTCTCGTCTCCTCCCCTCTCTCTCTCTCTCGCTCCTCCTTCGGTTTGTTCGGGGTTTCGGGGCTGGGGTTTGGGGGTGGTGTGGGGGGGGTCCTTCTGTGTTGTGCTGCTGCAGGTCCGCGCTCTGCTTCGACGACCGCCGCAGCATGCCCAAGCCTAAGAGATCATATCGTGCTGCCTTTTGGCCAGTGTGTAACCCCCCCAATCCCAAACCGGAACCCAAGAAACCCGGCATCCTTCACGAAGGCCCTGCTCTTGGGCGGCCCATAGGAGATGCTGTGGGTCAAGGGCCGGGGGGGAAGGGGACGGGCCGGGCATAAGAAACAATAGGCATGGAGAACCCCAAGCATACGGCAGGGGGTCGGCCGCTAGGGTGCTCGAATCTTTAAATGACCCCTCCCGTTGCAGGGCACTTCTTCTTTCAGAGTCGCGAGCCTCCACCGCTGTGGGCCCGGCCGAGTCGAGACTGAAACTTTGGAAAACCATGTCTCGGAGAGCGAACTTGGAGCCCTTTCACCTCACACCCGATGATGGCATGTATGTCATAATGGGGGGTATGAAGGAAGCTGGCTACCGTTCTGCTATGCAATATCTTGATTTAGCCAAACAAGAACACATACAGCGGGGGCCTTGGATTGCCCAACATGCGTTGGCCTACAAGGTGTGCGCCAGATCCTGTAGGCGAGGCCTCGGCCCAGCCAAACAGGCGTCAGCGCTCCCGCTGGACAGGCTTGCCACTCTGGATCAAGCCTCTTGTTCTGTTGCGTCGGGACCGGTGCCGGCGGTCACCTCGACGATTGTGGCTTCTTGGTGGCTTCTTAGAGAAATAGAAGCCTCAAGAGCAAGAGTCAGGCATTTCACTTTGGACTTCGGTACCAGGACAGCCGCTTGGCTCCTCCCGTCCGCCCTGGGAGCAGTCAGAAAGCACTCGTGCTCATGTACAGTTCTTCCTCCAGCACTCTGCCCGTTTCATACGTTGGCCTCTCTTATCCATGGGAAGTGTCCTGAGGATCCTGTTTTCTGCGATACAGAGGGAAGGCCCCCATCCAAGTCGGGATGGGCCGACACTTTTCAGGATATCGCGGCCGCTCTTGGGCTTCCCCTCGTTCTTCAGAACGGTGCCCGGGCGTATACCGGGCATTCCGCACGAGCCACAGGCGCCCAGTTCCTGGCAACGAGGGGAATTGAGTTGTGGAGGATACAAATTTTTGGCAGATGGGGTAGCGACATCATCCTGAGATATCTCAGAGAAGCTCCGCTGGCTCATATGACAGAGCTAGCAATTGAGAGCGGCCACGGCGAAGCCATAGCCCGCGTTCGGGGAGAACTGGAAGCTCTTCTCGCGAGCGCCGCTTCCGGAGCGATGTCGCAAGCACCTGGTCCTTAACACCGCACGAGGAGGAAAGCTCCACAAATGCCTTACCGATTTGTCGGACCCAGGAGTTGCCCTCAATCCGAAGAGTTGGCGGACTTGTTGCCTTTGGCCCTTTGCCTCTGGTGATGCAAAGTTTTCGTGGGTCCCTGGCAACCATCGAGGCCGCAAGTGTAAACACTGCTTCCCTGGTGTCCGTAAAGCCCCTTCGGGCTCCTCGGAGTCCTCCTCGGGCTCCTCCTCGAGCTCTGGATCTTCTTC